AAAAAAAGGTATGTTTTGATTCTTCATTTACTAGTTCATATCAAAAGAATCCTGAATTACAAGCCTTAGAATATAGGCTCTTTTGCTTCCTTGAAGGATGCTGTCTATGGTAATATATGCCACATGCCCTATCTTTAGATATTTGATGCTTTTTCCTTCACATAATTGAATGCTGATATTCTAGTATTTTGACACTGAACTAAATGATCAAATATGTGCCTTTTATTTCACCTTCAGAATATCATTTTATTCATCATATATCTTTATATTTCTCACATGTCCACACTTTCTCAGTGTCCACACTTTCCTTACATATGCTAGCAAAAAACTTGCACAGTACAGATTTGTGTTTGCATTCTCACAGCCTCTAGAGGAACCAGTCAAGGATCACACACCAATAGTCTAAGTGTTTTATGAGAAAATGACATCCCCAAGTCCCAAAATAAAGTTTCAAAGAGCTTCTATTAAATTAAATATTGGGTTCAGATCTTTTGACAGGGCATATGTCAATATAAACTGTCCAATAGATTACAAACATTGTTTTTTCATGTTTACTGTCTTGGCCATACAAGGTAATTTCCCAGATACTGTATTTACTCACATACCACATACACCTTTCTCACCAAAATCAGCTCTCCAAAACTAGAATGTTTAACTTAAATAGGGAAGCTAATTTTTCTTCACTGGAATAGACTTTTCCGGAATAGATTTTTCTTCATTGTGACAGGCTGTAATAGTGCAAGCAGGCACTGTGACTCCTGGCTACCAAGATGGCTGCCACTTTTCCCCAGACCTGCAAACAGTGGTGGGTGTGGGAAAGTCCAGTGTTAAGTTTCTCAAGAGTCACTAATGGTGTAGTAGCTTCTAGCTGAAGAGCCACTGAGCTGGCTGAGGGTGAGTGAACCGCTGCATGCAGTCTAAAGTAACTTGATGAGGCTTGTGATGTGGAAATTCTTTATTATTTACTTATATAATTAGTACTTGTATAAAGAACTATTAGCAGTAAAGAAATAACTGTCTTCTTACTGCCCTTGTAAGGAACTGGGACATAGGTTTGTTGCTGTCCTGCCGTAACAGGAGGTTCCAGACCGTCTCCTGGGTGCCACCCTTCCTGGACACTATAGGTGCTGACAGATGTGCAGCTCCCCATTGTAACTCATGGTGCTTCACAGAACATGCCATGAGTTACAGAAAACCCCCTGATCATGTGAGAAACAACTTCTGTCTGTGCTCTGTGTTTCCAGGAGGACTTACTCTGCCACACGGTTGGCCATGGCTCTGAAATTTTTTTTCTACATTCTGTCTCCCAGAAACAAGTTGTGTGTTTTTTTCTGAGGGTTTTACCTGAGGGTGTGTGGTATGCAAGAAAATGCAATGTATTTATAAGTTTCTCATTGGCAGTTGCTCTGAAATTGTTTTTTCAGTGCCGTTTTCTTGAAAATACTGCTAGTGTTCATACTTGATGGAGTTCCAGCAGTGTGGTTTGTGTTACTCTTGTCTTTTATTATATAAAAAGATAGCAAGAGAAAAAGGTCTTTAATTTAAGAGACCAAAAGCATAACATCAAAATATGGGGCTTGGTCCCATTGATCTTACTGACTTGAGGATCAGTCACAGAACTGCTATGACTAATTCAACAGAGAGCTTCACCCACTCAGCTGCCTAAAGCTTCAAGTCTACCTCCATCCACCAATATTTTTCATGTTTTTCCACCCCTTTGTGTACCTTACAAATTTGAGTCTCAGATGAAGCAGTCTGCAAAGTGTAGGCTATTTATCTAATGTATGCTTATGAATGTGAGTTCATGGTCTTCCTAAAGCCCCTCATTCTTTTCATCAAACATGCTTGCTTTAAATTCATTGCTTTTTCCACTGTATAAACTAGGTAGATCTGAATACTTACACAAAGAATCTAAAGCATTTGGTTGTTATTAGAGTGAAGATAGCTGACTCACACATGCAAAAAATTAAAGAAACCTTACAAATGTTAGAGTGATTTTTGTTTTGTTTTGGGGCTATGGAGCACCAAACCACATCCTGTAGTAAAACAGATCTTTCCCCTTTTTTGTTTTTCTTATGTAGTATCATGTCAGGCCAATAAAACAAACAAGGACAATTCTTTTATTCTCTATATTCCCAGCATTTTATTATTTTTATTTAAATATAACATAGTGTACATTGTTGCTCAGCCTTTTTTTTAAATAACCAATTTTTGCTCTTGTTCAGGAGTCCCCTCTTTGGTGGGGGTCACACAGATAAACACTTTTGGTTAAAGATCTCTAATACTTTGGGAAGACCATCTGTGGCACAATCCTGCCACAGTAGATATCACAGCATGCCGGTCAGTCATGCAGGGCCATTGTTTTTCTTCAGTGGTCTTCAAGGGTTTTTTATTTTTATTAATTCTGAGGAATCAAACATTTATTCCACAGAACTGCTCTTGTCCCTATCTTAACTTCCTTTGGAAAACTGATATTTTGGGGGGCCTCTGAACAGTGATATGTTTGCTAGAAGCAATTTTAATGTTTTGAATCCTATAATTATGATTGTTTACATACAACCCCCCCTCCCCTAAATAATTCTGTGAAATGAGAACCTAGTTTGTGACATGGATGTTGTTAAAGTGGTCATCCAATACTGTATTTGTCCAAGCAAACATTTAATTGTTGTTGTGGGTGGTCCATTATGCCTTGTCATATGCAATTACTACTTAAAGAATTAAAAAGAAAAAAACTCCCTCTTGTAACAACAAGTTTTGCTGTTCAGTCTTAATTACCAGTTTACTTTAAAAATCTGAAATTCTACTGTTGATAGATTTTTTTTTAAAGAATCTCATTAGTCAAGAAGTAGGTTGGAAATAAACTGTCATGAAATACAGTGTTATCTAGCAGCCAAGATGCTGTGCCTCAAATGACATTTTTATTTTAAAACAGCCAACTTTATTTAAGGAACAGGAAATGCAAACTGACCATTTTGTACTTTATCGGAAAGCTTCTGTTTTTACACCTAATACTTAAATAACACATAAACATTGGAAGTGCTGGTTAAGCATTGACTCAAATAAGTTATAGAAGATCACAACACCAGCATTTCTAGAGGTTTAACTTTGTTAAAAAGAATGTTAAGCAAGACTCTCCGTGTACCAAAATACAGTTTCCAAACAATAAAAATAAAACCAACTTTTTTCACAACAAGAAGTATTGAAGATAAAACTGCAGCATCAATATAATCTCATAGGTATCACTTAAAGTATTTAAAACAAAATAATATTATACTACTTTTTGTTTCTCACTACAGACACTGCAAAGAAGGCTTATTTATTTAGTGGAATACAATGTGAAGACAGTGGTACATGTTGGTTGATGTATTGTTCTCTATTTACCTGCTCTAACAAAATGAATCTCAATATGGTTATACTGATGAGCTATCCAGAGCTCTCTAAAATCACAGAGAAAAGTTAAATAAAACAAACCTTATGTACCTTTTAAGAAGAACAGACTTCATAGTATGTTTAGCTTAGCTATACTGTATTTGTTCAAATTAAGCCATGGGAGTAATTAACACTTTCCAAAAAGTGTTGAATACTTTTGTTTTCTGAGTCATGTTTTAGTATGATGTATACGAAAGACATTCTAAATCTGGACACCAATGTTGCTTCAGGGTTGGCTCTCCTGTCACATACATGAGAATAATACACTTTAGCATGTTTTAGATCCTATCCTTCACTCCAATACCACTCTCAGTGAACATACATGATGGTAGGAGCTTGTAACACGGATAAGTTTTGAATAGGTGTGTTAACTGTATAAGGAATGCAAAATTATGCTCTTCTTTACCTACCACTTTGGGACCACATTTTCTCATAGGATTTTCTGACCTCAAATGTTCTTATAGGATAATTCTGTTCTTTCTTCAATTTATGCAGTCTCATTGATTTTAATGGGGGTAGGGTGGGGTCCATGTTCAGGGCTTGTTTCAAAAACCACTGAAATCAGCAGAAAGATTTCATCTGATTGCACTGGATTTAGGATCAGACCCAAGGTTCTAATTGAGTTCCAAATAGAAATCAATGAAAGCTGAATACACTTATACTCACGCACATTTGTATACTCACACACATTTGTGTACACGCACACATGCACATACATACACACAAACACAGATTTACCCCTCTCTGTCCATTTCATAACAGCAGCGTGACCCTTCATACAACATATTTCTGGAAGTTTGCTCATGAGTGATGGCAGGTAGGAGGTCTCACAGACATAAACACACCCAAGGCATGCCAAAAATCCAAACACTACATGCTGGGTCTTTTTGCTTAAGTGCAAACCAGGTTAGAAGAAAACAGATTAAACACATTAACTGCTGCCTTTAAAACCTTGTCCATTTACTAGTCTCAGTTCATGAGGACTTGAAATTTTCCTCCATCAACCTCTGTATGAAAAGCTGAGAAAAGGAAAAAAAACAAGGAATGAAATGAGAAAAAACATTTAAACCCAAAAAGGATATTTAACATCCTATTAAATAAATAACTTAGAGAGAAATAAAAAGAACTGAAGTTAGAATATACAGACAGACCATACTATTCGTTTTGTTAGAACAGTTTTACTCTAATGTGCTTATATTTCTTAATCCTATCCATTCTTCCATGAGGCTACTCCAGAAACTTCTTTTGTGCATATGACCCAAGTGCTTCCAGTAAATGCTTGCATGTCTAACTGTTCATTGGATCATTAGGCTTGAATGAGCAATGAAGGTCTTTGATATGAGTTAGTATTCCATAAATAACTTTCCCCGAAGATCATTCAACAGATTGTCTCACGTCCTTTAAATTCTATCGCAGAGATAAAAAAAAAAAACATTGTTCACACCGGGAATAACTCCTATCCCATTTGATCCAGCTTGTATCTTGATTATAAGATATGACACAGAACTGATTAAAAGTACTTCATGTGCCAGCAGTGAGTACAAAACCTTCAAAGGTTTCCCCCTACCCCCCCTTTTCAAACAAGCAGACGTCTGCACTGTTTCTTTGCATTTACTCTTCAAGAGGATTACCCAGAATACTTGACAAAAAGGGCCTTTGGTTCAACTGCATTAATAAACAGTTCCTTCTCTATGACATTACTACCATTGGAAGAAAGTGGGCTGAGGTGTTTTTTCTCCTTGTTTTCTGTCCTCTCTTTGTAGCTCCTTTTCCATTCAAGGCCACAAACATTTGCCTTCCATTGTGCTTCCAATTTAAGGATGCATATGTGTTATATCCGTTTTCTTCTATTCTTTCCTTCAGTTTACAATCACTGTTAAACTCTTTCTGTTAAAAGAGGAAAATAAACAGGCAAATTCAGAATGTAAACATCTTTGTACAGCGTACTGAGGAAAAATTAGTTCTAAAATAATTATATTCTAAAGAATTCTAAAGTACTTTATACTACTTCCACCTAATCTAGAACATCATTTTATAATTATAGGATTTTCTTATTAAATGATATAACTTCATGTATAACCCCCCCCCCACATCAAATACAAAATAAAAATGCAATCATTTGGGTAATATTCATATACAATGATGTTCATATACAATATTCATATACAATGATGAGTATATAATTCAGCCACTACTGAAATGCAGTTACTTCTGGAATAGAATGTGGTAGATACTAAATAAATCTTTTGGTTACAGAAATTATAGACTCCTTCACTATGTTTCAATTCCAGCAAATGCAAACCTTGAGGTGTTTTGATCCAGATTATTGGTTGCATATGTTAAATAAATCTATAGAGCCTTATTCTCATTTAACTCCAGTTCTTTTTACACCACAAAAATAACACAAAGGGGCCTTTTAATGGGAATGAATCACTCTTCCACATAAGTTTGCTTCATGTGGCTGTGAGGCTCCTTTAATCTGCTAGAACATCGTCAAAGAACTTAGTATAAATGAGAATCAGACTCTCAAAGACTTGAGTGTTTGGCCCAATATTCATATTGTTAGACTATTCACAGAGAGCTGAAAAAGTTTCTGCATACGCTCTCCCAAAGATGAATGTACTGATTTTTTAAAGAAGAGGTGCCATTTTGCTTGAAGAGGATGTAAAATGTAAAAGCTATTTTTCTGTAATGTTTAATATACACAGACAATATTCACAGACACATATTTGTATTTCAGTAGTGATGACAAGATATAGTTTCCAGATTTGGGAGAAAAAAATGAGAGAAGCAGTTTCAATTAAACCACAAAGCACAAATTGGAAGGCGTCTGCAAAGTCATTTGAAACTATAATCAGCAATAAGAAATAAAGCATTGGATGTGTCTACACATGCAAGTAATTCAAACCAATAAACTCTGGAGCAGTTTGGACGCAGTGTCTACATGTACACCCAGGACAGCAGCAATTTGAGCCAGGGTGGAACAGTTTATGCCAGAGCCAGGAGCACAGTGGAGAGTCAGCCCTGGACTCCAGGTGGTGGCATCAGGTGGTGGAGGGGCTGGCTGGGATACAAGGGTGCTGAAAGTGCAGAGCTGTGTGGCTAGTTGGCAGGCATGAGTCTGGCCCCCTGTTAGCTGGGCTGACCGAGCACAATTCATGCCTGCAGTCAGCATCTACACATGCATTTAATCATAGTTAATTACCCTGGCATAAGATAGTACTGTCCCTGATGGTACTAGCTTACTACAGCATTGATTAGTTTACTGTGGCCTAATAGTGTCGCATATGTAGACTGTGATGCTTTACTGTGCAGCTAATTAGTCTACTCTGCAGTTAAGTGCATGTGTCGATGTTATCATTATATACTTCTGTAAGTCCTGCATTTTAGAAAGCAAGTTATTGCTTTAGCGGAAATGTGCAGGATCATCACAGTGGAATACAGCACTGCTTCTCAACGTTTTTAGACTCAAGGCACCCTTCATTAAGACTCAAGGCCACCCTTTGAAACTGCCACGTCTTAGCTTTCATTCATTTCTGACTACAGAAAAATAACAGAGCAATTCTCCTATTTCAAAGAACTCAGAAAGACTGCAACACGTCAGACTGTTTTTGACAACATGGATTCCTATTTGAAATCCCTGGGTTTTTATCTTGTGAATCATGTGTAAGTGTTTGCACACTTAACAGTGCTAATATTGTGCAGCACCCTTAAAAGTATCTTGCAGCAGCCCAGGGTGGAGAATTAGTGGAATAGATAAACATGGAGATGGCCTATAAATAGATGGTCTATCTAAGGCCTCTATTCATATGCTACTTAGACAAATCAAGTCTTGAAATTATAAAGTGTTCATCACAGTATGAATAGAATTATTTTTTGGCTGATTCAGACATTTTAATTTGTTGTTTATATTGAATGTTATTAGATGCCTTGATGATTAAATAATTAGAAAACTCCTGCATTAAATAAAAACAGATCCATTCTTTAGGTTCTCCCTTTAAATAACTACAGACACAGGGAAGCAATGTGTAAGACCCAATTCCTTTTTAAAGAGTATATTTTCATTTCCTATTCATAAAGATTTGAATTTAAAAAGTGAGTAAGAGGTTATATTTGGACACAGCTACGTTTTAGAGCCTTACTTTCACTTATTCTCAGTTAAAACTATAGCAATCATACTTACGTGTGAAGAACAAATACCCATTGTTCTACTATGGGTATTTCCCATGCTTCTGGACTTTGCTGGTTGCCCCTACCCCACCTTTCTGCTACATGTCAGGGTGCTTTTAAGCCTCCTTCAGAGGCACTGGGTGTTGGGATTCTGGCTAGAGGATCATGGCCCTCCACTCAGGGTCAGACCAATAATCATATTTATGGTCAGGAAGGAAGTTCATCCTGTGGTCAGATAGTTATGAACTATGGGGGTTTTTGCTTTCCTCTGTAGTTGGGGGAAGGGTCAGAGGAGAGGTGTGACCCTCTACCAGGGATCTCTTCAACATATATTGACAATGTTTTATTGAAGCAGGATATTGGCTGCCATGGTTTCCTTGCTTTACCTGTGGCAGGTTAGTGTGTTATGTCTGTGTTGTGTTGTGTCTGGGTTGATGGTAGTCTTAGACAGAATTTAGATTACGGATTGTATAGGATAGTTTGGAAAGGGATGATTCTGCCTCAGGCAGGAGATTGGAGGTCTCTTCCAGTCCTATTTCTCTATACCATAATTGATTGATACATGTGACTCTAAGAAAGATCATTTTACAGTAGTAACTTAAGCAAAACTATGGAAGTTTGGGGAAGCGTTTTCCGAAAAATATTCTCCATTTCCCAAGACAACCCTCATACTTACCACTTTCATAAACATCAGGGCACTGACCTTATTTTATTAGCTTTAACATGCCAGCTTCTTCCTCAATGCAGTAAATAGGTAGCTGCCATTTAATCTACACTACAGTTCTAAATTACATAAATTCTGATTTGCTCCTAACTGAACAGTTCAAATAATTAAAAAACGAATAAAACAAATGAATCTTCCTTTTGCCCTCTCATTCTAACTACAGTCAGTAATAGTGACTGGAACATATTTGATAAAATCAGTCTTATTTGAGTTCTTTTTTTTCTAGATACAGAACTCCACTATGGTCCAAACCTTCCTCCCAAATTATAGATGGAAGTGAGAGTTAAGAAATTCCATTGGCAGGAGTTTTGGCATCAAGCCATGAAAAATCTTGTACAGATCATTCCAAACAAATTTCAGTATTTTCCCACATCTGCATATATCTTGTGTATAGTTTTTCTCATATCCAGGAGGGCTGTTTTTCACATTCACCAGCCTGTAAAGAAAAGCTGCCATTCTATAGCATCATGAGTCAGGAGAGGGACAGAGAAGAACCTGATGGATTTTAGAAACTTCTGAAATATTATAGAACAGTGAGCTTGTCAGGATAGAGGCCAGTTTACCAGAGGCTGAAATTCTGATGAACAGCTCATTGCAGCTCTAATGACTATTAATCGACAGATAACTGGCCTATTCAGTAGGTAAGGGGTGGAGGGAATCATATTGTTGCCTACTACCATCCACTTTGAAAACAAAAGTAGTATACTTACAGAGCCATAGACTTTTCCTTTCTTGTTCATGGCTAAATAATAGTTGCTGTTAATGGACTTAACTGCAACAACTCCAATTTCCACAGATGTTATCTCCAATATGCCTAAAATACAAAAAAGAAGGAAAAAAATAGAAAGGCTCAGCTTAATGACTTAACCACTTCATTAAATAAAGAGAGGATGTGTCAATCATAAAATATGGGTGAAAATTAAAATGGGTCCTACCAAATCATGCTAAAATTCTATTAATATTTTAAATCAACCAGTCAAAAAGCCTCAGAAACATTATTCTCCAAATCACGGCAAGAGTATACATATGCACTGTTTCAATTAACATGTTTCCTTTGCTAACCCTGCATTTAAAACTTCATAAATATTGAAACAGCTCTACTTTTCTTAGCACAGATTTCACTAAAATTTATCAGAAGAGACATCTGACCCACAGCATTATATTAAATCTATAGCATATGTCAATAGAATGTCAGATTTACCTCAATCTTCAAAAACAGTGGTAAGCTATTTATTTTTGTAGGGTATTTAGATAAACTAAATCCCTTGGGTGTACTGATCTGATAAATTCATTTTTGGCAAGTGTGCTGACATTCTGGGATAAGACTAACCCTGATGTCCACGTTATCTTTGTCTCTCAGATATCAGAAACACTCTGTTCTGTTTATAATAAATGTGATTATCCTCTTTTGTTTTTCAGATGAACTCTTTCTGGAGTACTGAATGGTTCAAGGGACCAGTGATGGGATACAGAGGCTTTCATCTTTAGGTCATCTGTCTGAATTCATATTTACTTGGGGGTACTGAAAGCAGCTACCACTTATATGAGTTAGAGATTTCTGTTCAGCTACTACTGGACAAAGGTCAGCATTAAGCAAAGTGCCAGAACTGTCAATCTACAGTTGTAACAAGGAGTCAATGGATATGAAGACTGAACTGTCCTTTGTGCACATCCACATTTGGATTCTTATCTTCTTTAGGAACCATTTTTAAATTGGACCAATCTTAAGTGGAATAGCTGTTTAGTCAATGTGATGGGCCAACCCTTTCTCACTGGGTTATAAATGGAAGAGGTCCATATGACATGGTAGTTAAGAGACAGACAATATAGTCTGTCTATATTGATTTTCATAAAGTTGTTACCACTGGAGGAGCTGCCTAAAGAACCAGATTTCAACAAACTTTCTTCAGTTGACAACATTTTAATCAAGGAATACCTGTTATAACTTCCCATTGTGTGATGGCACAATGCATGTCTTTTGTCAGGAAAGATGAAGAAATGGAGTAAATGGTAGTAGCAAGGATCCCTTTGGTATCTGGAACTACTTGACTAACTCCAGTAAGGAAATATATGAGCCATTAGATAAGTGAAAGCTTATGACAGCTCAGTTTATGACATATTGGCATACATGTGCATTACTCATTTAGGGCTTGTCTACATTGCAGTGTTGGCTCAAGACCATTAACCTAACTTCCTGCTGAATGTGAAGACTTGAAGCTAGAATTATATGGTATTTTAAACTGTAGTTACCTTAGCTGTACATAGGTTCATTGGGAATATGGCTTGGAACCCTAATGATGCTGCTGATGTTTGAGCTACAACTGCAGTGGGATTGCATCTATTCTATGATGCTAATCCATTTGTGCTGTGCAGGCAGTCCAGTCACAATGATGTTACTTAGCCATGTAGCAGATCTCACTCAAGCTAGGCTAACTTCAAAGAAATTAGGTGTGTAGCTAGAGATTAGATTATGAAAATGGAAGGTTTCAGGGTAGTAGTTTAGGGAATGAGGTAAAATGCTGAGCTAGAAGTTGAAGTCTAATCTCAGTAATATTGCTACTGAGTTGTAAAAGACTCTGTGGTAACTCTTCACTTCATCTTTCTGTGTCACATTTTCCCCATATGTGAAATGCAGCAGTAACCTCAGAGAAGAGGTTTGATGATTGATTACTTAGAGCCATACAATCAGTTGTGTAAAATAGTATATTTCCATTGTTTTAAGCAGATTAAGTCAGTTTACACACGTTTGGGTTCTGGTCCACATGGATACTGCTCCTTTAAGATTTATTGCTACATCCACTTTTACAAATCTCTTGCAGGATATGCTGCAGGATCATTTAATTGCTATATTCCTCCAGCCTCCTGTTGGCCCTCCTCAAAGTATCTGTGTTTAAAGCCAAGCACTGTTGAGTATAGTGGCTGTTGATAACAGCCTGTTGGAGGGGAGAAATTGTCATGTGAGCACTACCTGCTTTGCCAGCAGACCCCTTTTTTCTGTGTTTGATTGACATGTTTTTGCTTCTTTCCATGTCAGACAATGATGATAAGAATGCAGGCCATTAATTACATGAAAATTTTAATTTTGCTGAAACTGCTAGTATAGCAGTAAAACCAGACCAGATTCATTTCTAACAACCACAGGGAAAAAATACTACATGAGTATTTCAAGGGACATCATTAATTATTTTATGTTGAAATAGATTAAATTGAATTAAACGTTATCATGTTATCTTTGCAAGAATAATATTAATATAACATGTTATTCTATTGACCAACATATTTGTGAAATTTTCAAGAACAGTATCAAAGTGGATAGTATATTGTTCAAGTATGACATTGGCATGGGATTGAATAGTTCTGGTTTGTGCTTGAATGGTCCAGAAACATCATACTTCAATATAGTACTTCAGTCAGTGCTGTGCAATGGAAAATATTTAGCATAATACATCAAAATACAACAGATTTTGCTAGTAAATAGTAGTCCCACTCCATCACATTCTCGCTGAAAAAGCTGAAAAGTGCTCATCAAGATGAAAATTACTGCATTTACATTGTATACCACAAGAATTTGACTGTGCCCAGTGATGGTTGTCCAGCTGGTCCAAAGGTGGTTGAATTCTTCCAGAGTATTATCAACTTCATCTCATTCCCTTGGATTTGTTCTCCCTAAGTAAGCATGCTTTACAAACTTGGAAGTGCAGATGAAAAACATTACTGAAGTCTCAAATGATAACTTTATGGACTCCCACCTCTGGTGTCTTTTTGGAGATTTCAGTGGGGGTTTGTGTTTGAAATGAATCTGGTGTTCTTAATCTACCAGGGAGTTCATGTACAGTATGGGTCAAATTCCTTATTCACTTTTGCCCCTTCTGTCTATACAACCCTAGACACTTCAGTAGAGGTGCATGCTAAGTCTATACAGAATTTGGCTCCAGCTAGATCACGTAGCCTCTCTCCCTGTGTTTGGCATAATTTATAGATCCACAGCTATCTTAAGAAAATGGGGCCATGTCTACATGAGACACTAGCTGTGCAGTAGCTCATTACTACTGCGGAATAGTATGACATGGCATGAAGCATGATGTGACGCCACTGTGCAGTAGTAGTGAGCTACTGCGCAGTCAGCATCACCTGAAAACCATTCAAAGTAACAACTGCGCAGTTAGCATCTCGTGTAGATGTGGCCAGGGAGTCTTAAACTAACTTCAATAATGTTGACATATACGTAGTAGAACTTGGAACAAGATCACTAACTCATTTGACATATATCACCCAAAAATAAATTGTATTTTAGTTCAGAATCTATAAGCTGGCCTGGATTCAATCCAATGCCCTTTGGTATGAAGGTGAAAATACCTGTGTTCATAATCCTTGAGTTGCTGTGTCATCAAGTGCTCCAGGAAAGTATCTAAAGAAAAAAATGAGTCCTGCAATAGAACAACCTAAAATTGTAATCAATATTTTTACCATCTAATTAAAACAATTTTTTGCCTGAAAAAGAAAATGCTGTCAGGTTGCATTATGGGTCACCTTCTTATCTAATTCAGTTAGACTTTCATACATCTATATAGTCCATAACGCTGTAACACAGTCGTAAGCCATGACTGTGGTTCCCCAGTATTTCTGGAATAAGACTAAAAATACAGATAATATGATAAAGATTTTCAAGATTAGACCTTTTAAGTTGCCTTGATAAGCACCACCATACAAAACAAATAAAACAGTTTGGGGGATTATCATTAACATTTGCTCATTTGTTTGATGTTTTTTTAGGAATTTGGAAAGAAAAATGGGGGGTGGGGAACGATGACACACCCTTTGTGGCCTCCATTATGGTTTTAAAACATATAGCACACTATTATTTTACAGTCATTACTCTATAAACTGCTACAATTACAACTAATCCCATTTTACCACATCCACTGTAAAAGCATGGTTTTCAATACCCAAATCATTTCCAACTCATAATTAGAAACATTCGAAATATCAACTTGAGATGTGCCCTGTAGCTGTGCCTCTATTTGCTTTACAGGTCCCAAATGCTAGAAACATATTCCCCACAGGAACCAAGTATATTTATCTTATATAAACTATATTTTTATAGTTTATAAAAATGTTCATTATGTAAATGAGAAGGCAACAGAAAAATGACTGGTGATCTTGCATCACACAGAGGAATTGTAAAAAAGAGGCTTATATCGTTCGTATGCTATTTGTAAACTTCTTCGATTCTTATAAAAGTACTGGAAATACGAACATAAACCATATACAGAAAATTATGTGGCTAGTGTGGCATTCTACTGAGCAATTTATTATGGGACAGACAGCTTGGTATTGGTGATGCTACTGAATACTTTATTGAGATATCACCATAATAATAAATGAATGCTGTTATGAGAGGCCAAAAGAATTGGTAACTATGGATCACCTGATTCCAGGACCAAACCTTGCTTCTTTGTGATGTGGGGCATCCAATCATTCTTCTGTTGTCTTATAATTTATATACTGAACACCTGTATACTTTCTAAAAATGCCTGTGACCCCAGACATCTCATGCACTAGCTAATAATGCCACCTTCCCTCCATTCCATGTATCCTTTAGCTGGTGATCTGTTATGCTTCTAACCTGGTTTCTTCCCACAGGCATTGCCTCCATGCATAAAATATCACAGATGAAGAATGAGTTCAACTCAGTGGAATGTGATAATGCTAGAAAGCTGCTGAAATGCAAATTTTCCAACTGGTCAGATGTCTGTAGGCAACAGGCTGCTGGGTATATGGAAATGGCTGCTGCTCTCAGCTGGGTGAAGCGGG